CCTTAATCTTTAGAGCATAAATAGCCTGAGATCACTTCCAAGCACTAAGCGTGGGAGAAGCGACTGCACTCAACAAGCATGTGTTGAAATGGCCAGAAATGACCTGGAAATGTAACGTGAATCATCATTTCCTCCGGACTTTCTGGGACGACGGCATGAAGACATGGAGACCAGCGGCTCCCGGGGGCGACTCCACGGGGCTGCCTTGTTCCCGTTCCCACGTTTCTGTGTATGTGTAACTGTTTCAGTTTCATTTGTCAGCAACTCTCTGTTTACCCGGCTTCCTGTTATTAATTATGGGGAGCAGGTTTTCTTGAAATATATTTGAGACTCTTTTAACTCTTGTCCAGACAAGACGAGATATTGATGATTCCTTTAATGTTGGTACAGAGCTGGAAACTGACTTAGAACATATTGTTGCCTCACGTAGTTGACAATGTATAACTCACAGAAAAAAGTAAAGACAGAAATAATAATAATAAGAAGAAGAAATCACAGCAGTGTCTCTTCCTGTCTCCAGACACTGAGATACTTTCTTCATTGGACATGACAATTAATTAACAGATCACAGCATGAATTCGGAACTCTAATAGCCCAGAGAAACGTTTCAAAGGTCAACTCAAGTAGTTAAATGCTAAAGGACAGTAAGATTTGTTCTAGAGTAAGTGCCTCTATAAAGAGACAAAAGCACTGACCTGGTTAGTGGGCACTGCAAGGCTCCCCCTCCTCTGCAAACATCTGGCCAGCCCATCGAGCTCCTGTCTTTGAAATAGGAGCAAATATCCTTGCATGCACTCAAATCCTGAAGGAGCCAAAACATCTGGAAGTTTTAGAAGAAAAGCAAAATAGCGATGGGGGGAAAATCCAGATTAAACCCTGCAGATGTGTAATCGGGCTGTCAGTTATGCTACGAGGAAATGAGGGCAGAAATAACCAGAAGCCACTGGGTGGAAAATGAAAATAGTTCCACGAGCCGATGCCAAGCCCTCAGCAGAGAAACCGCTCCTGACTCGTGGAGAGGGGCTCTCGAAGCAGAGGTCGGAAAGTGCTACCACGTGCAGTGTGGTGGATTAGCCATCGCCCCCAAGTTCTTTTCCATCGAAGCACAATTAAAGTTCTTCAGACGCCCCCCTCTCTCCTTGGTCATTAATTCAGGCAGCTACTCGGAGTTTGGCTTTCTTCAGTGACAAGCGCTCCCTCCACCCTCCTCGCCCCTTTCTAAGACCCCCTAATACTGCTGAATGGCCAGAAATTACAGATGCAAGAAAATCTGACAAATGCCTGCCAGGCCCCTCCCCCAGTGCCTCGACAGTCAAGCCCCTGCCAGAGGGTGCCTGAAAGCGCTCCCAGAGACAAAGACACAAAGATTCCATTTTCCCAGTGAAAATAGACTTCATGTGCAAAACACTAGTGAGAAAAATTGAGAACTGGCACATATGTGCAATTTTAGGGAGGCCGGGCTGCATATTTCAAGGAGCTTGAAATTGCATTTGATTGCATCAAAAACCCCTCGCAAATGTTGTTTAACCTAAAAGTCTTTTCAGTCTGTAAAAAGACATTCAGTGGCAAGAGATTTTATTTTTTATTTTTTTTAAGCACATGGCTAAAAAGGAGAAAGAGTCTTGAGCTCAGGAGAGAGGTTGATCACATCCTACTGCTGCGTAGAGAATTAACACTGGCTCACATCACAGGGTCTGCGAAACAAAGGGGAAAGTTTAAAAAAAAAACTCTATTAAATCAAAAGGTTCAGAGAGATACTATTAAATCCTTATGAGTATGTTTTCTATAAAGAGAATCCCCTCCCAGCAGCCCCGGGGTATCATTACTGGAGAGGCAGCAAACGGTTTATTAGAGATTCAAGCCATGGCATCTGAGCCTTGCCAAGCATGCAAGTTTTAGCCTGTGAGCCCAGGGCCCTTGGTTTCCACTGTGCCTCTGGGATCTGACAGCGAGAGCTGTCTGGTTGGTCCCCACGCCGCGCCGGGCAGTGTGTAGGTGCAAAGCCTGGGAAACAAAGAAAGACCATCATTTCCTAAGGAAAGGTCATACTTCCCTTCCTCCCTAAATTCCTATAGGCCAGGGTAACTTATGGAGATGAAAAGAAAAATGTGTGCCAAAAAAAAAAATCACAAAATGAATGTGGGAATTAATTCATTTACAACATACCTTCAAGTGATGCTATATTGTAAATAAATTGAGAGGGAGAGCAGGAGAGGAGGAGAGAGCGAGGGAAAGAGAAAGTTTGGAGTTTTCATTTAGAATTATCTTTTCATGCAAAGGAGGGAGCGTCTCCCATCTGCCTTCTTAGATTTTTAACTTCGGGGTCTCTTTGTCTTTCTTTAGTTTCATTCACCATGCAAAGCCAATTCAGTTGTGTAAGAAAAGTGACCATGGGGCCATTTTTAAGCAGGGTAATTCTGCAAGATTTAAATTGACCATTTGATAGAATTTTGCTTTCTTCGAATACCCTAGGCTTTAAGAGCTCCATGGAAACCTTTAGTAAGTACTTCCATCTCAAATGGGGTCCACTGACATCCCCAGCCCGACCCATTCAATAGTGTTCTGTTCTTCACAGACAGGTTCAGTACTTGCGGAATCCTTCGAATGGGCTTAAGATGTGTTGGCAAAATTTTGACCATTAACAGGTTAAAATTCAGTTAATAGTAGCCATCAAGGGCTGCAGACCAGGACATTGCATTGGGAAAGTCTTAATGAAGAGAACTGACAATAAATTTTTTACAGACTGAGAACACACTTTTGTGCTCTACCACTCCTTCCAAGCCCCTGCTCCTCTTAACATTCTTGAGTTAATAAGAATAGCAGACAAAAGAAACTAAAAATTGACTTCATCATTGAATAAAAGACGACTGAGAGAAAAAGAGAATATTCGGTAAATCCAATGACCATTAGAATGTTTCCCACAAAACAGGTAAACAGCAAGGTCCCACTGTACAGGCACAAGGAACCCTATTCAATGACCTATAATGAAAAAGAATATGAAAAATAATATATATATATATATAAATGTGCAACTGAATCCCTATGCTGTGCACCAGAAACTAACAGAATGTTGTAAATCAACTATACTTCAAAAAAAAAGTTTCATACAGGCTCTTCATTCTACAGCAGCATTTGTGACAGGATACAGTCTCATCCTTACCAATCTAATCAAAACGCAGGGCGTTTATGACACGAATGAAGAAAGCTGATATTTTATTCGTGGTCTAAAACTCATCTAAGTGCCCCAAGCGCCCACTTATTGGCTACGAAAAGGGAGTATGGGATTCGGAGCACCGTTTGGGGAGTCTGGGAGCACGACTCTTTACGCACACTCAGCCACGCTGAACTCGAGTGAGTGAGTCTCTGAGACTCCATTTTTCTGTCTATCACATGAGAAGTTTTGCTAATCACAGAAAATTGGGGATTAACCTACAAAGGCAGCACTGACTCCAAAATGCTGACGTAATGTGAGTGTGGGGCGGGGGCTGGGCTGGGGGCGCGCTCCACTTCGTTGTATGTGTGCTTTTTTCTTCTTTTTTTTGAAGTACAGTCGGTCACAATGTGTCAGTTTCTGGTGTAGAGCACAATGTGTCAGTCATACATATACACGCATATATTCATTTTCGCCTTGTTCTCCGTTATAGGTCACTACGAGATATTGAATGTAGTTCCCTGTGCTCTACAGAAGAATAAAACTTTAAATTTCACATGAGGAGCAAGTCAGTGTCATTCACAGAGACAGGAAGTCCCTGGTGGATTTGGTAAAATGGGTCGCCCAAGAGCCGTGGAATGACCACGCCTCAGACCAGTCGATCAAGGCGTTCTTGGACTTTTCGGAATATTTCAACCTTCTGTAACGTTAAATCTGAGTCTGGGGTTTTAAAGGTCCTGAAGGATAGCTGAATGCGTATTCAGATGAACGCTTTCTCCCCTGTTAGTCATTCTCCTGCGAAGCGGGCCTGCAGAGAGCAGCCGCGTGAGGCAAAGCCCCAGCCCGACGGGGCGAGCTGTGTCCGGGCCGCTGGCCCGCCCGCCGGGGCCGGGGAATAGGCGGGGGGGCCCGGGACGCCAGCCCGACGGGGCGAGCTGTGTCCGGGCCGCTGGCCCGCCCGCCGGGGCCGGGGAATAGCGGGGGGCCCGGGACGCTTCGGTCCCTCACAGGCCCTCAGCCGTGCCTCCTGGCGGAGCCTCAGCCCAGGTGCCCCGGAGCCCAGACGAACAGGACAGGAAGAAAACTCACCGTCACGCGGACAGAAAACACACGCTGTTAAAGTGCGAGTGACAGAAACGCGCGCCTAAGGAGGGAGCGCTCGTCAAACTCGAGGGGGCCGCCAAGCTCAAGTTCGAGACCGCGTCTCTTACGGTGTTTTTTTTTTTTTTTAAACAAAATACCAGGATTCTCTGACTCAGGAGCAGAAAGGGGAAAGACAGAGAATCACCTTAGCTTGGTCTTCATGGAGCTTAACTGAAAGGGAAGAAACCACGTTGCTTAATCATATTCAATATTCCCTTTTTGGAAAATTCAACTCTTATCAGAGACGAGAAGAATGGCAGAAATGGAGCAGTATTATTCAGATAGAAAAGTTAGTCTCTTTAGAGAAATTAGATAACAGATAGAGAAAATGTATTTAACGTGTTTGGGAATAAAATCTAGATTTACTTAGCAATTGGACTCAGCATTCAAAGGTTTAAACTCACTTTACACACGGGAAGCACATCCAAAGGGAAGCTGATCCTTACAGTCAGTCAGTGACGTGACGGTAGGCAAACTGCTTTCTCTCTTCAGAGGTCTCGGTTATTACTGGACAAGACTTGTTTTGGGGGACGCCTCAAAACAATGTTTTCTGGGGTGAACTTAGTAGCCCTAGAAAAGGGAGGATTTAGGATGTGAAAAGTTGGCAGATGTCTACAGATATTTGGAATGGAAAACACTTCCATAAGAGGATAAAAATCAATTTTAGCTAATTTGCTTAGCATGGCCTGAGTTTTACATAATATCTTTGTTTTATACAGGGATCCTGGCAAAATTACCAACAAACCCATAAAGGACACTGAAGGCCATTCAATCTCCATCTTCACTGCCAGTCCCACAGACGTTGAAGAAATAAGCTATGTCTCCAAAGACCGACACTCCAAAGAGCACAGTTACGCCCTAAATCGAGGGCAGGATTCAGGTACGTCATTGCTTTTTGGTTCCTTTGCAATGCTTTGTTCTTCCTGCTGAAGATAATTTCTTCTCCCCGCCCCCCGGCTTCCTTTTCTTCCTCTCATTCACGTATGTCTTTTATAATTCGCATTGTTTACCGTCCTTTCATCAAGTCTGTGCCACGTCACTCAGGCACACCATCCGGCAGGACGCCGACACACACATTAGAGGAGGCAGGGAGCCGTGGGAGGTTTGCACCGTCTCATCAGGGCGGTTATAATAAGTATCTTGGTGTCACTGAAGGCTCTGTATTCAAATAATAGCCTTCCTCCTTACTCTTTTTAAATATGAAAGGCAACGGTGAAGCCTTTGAGGGGCCCAACCAAACAACACACATGTGAAAGTAGATCAGTGAGCCTTTGAAAAAAATAAATATCCTTCCATGAGATCCGTGAAGAATCTTAGCAGGTTTTAAAGAAAGACCTCCAGGTAAATGATGGCTGTTAATAAGACACATGACAGTCTCAGCGATGAGACTCGGTCCTGTGTGTTCTCTTGCCGTTTTATGTTCCCAGCAGGATTTTTTTTCTCATCAAGAGTTTCCAGGGAGCCTACTGTTGTCTGTGTGGTCAGCATATTTAAGTGGTCCCCCCCAGCTTCACTAATTAAAAAAAAAAAAGAAAAACAGACAAGACAAGAACAGCGACGTTGTCAAGCGGTCAGACAGACTGGAACTGGAGGATTAGAGGTCGGAGGGAAGAAATGGAGGGTTGAAAGCTGTAATTTCTGTTTCTGTGGTGCCAAACGAATCAGCTGTTGCAGCCGGGCAGCTGAAGACACAGCTCCTTAAGCAGAGGGTCTGGGAAGAGGGCACTTCTGAGCATCCCAGGGCAGCCAGCCTCCAGGAGTCGGGGTTACCCGCTGGGTCCCTCTCCTGGCCGTCCTCTGCCCCCCACTTTCCCATCCCACTTGACTCCATCCCTGTCTCTGGCAATTCCATATATTGCTTTCCTTTTTCTTGTTTGTTTTTTTATCCATACTTTTTACCTTTTTTTTTTTTAACACTAGTTGCTTGGCCTTTGACCCTTGTTCAAAGCACAGCTGGGTGCTCCTGGGTAACAAAGAGCAGGCTTTAACAGGAGACTGCATCTCTGAGCGCCTCCTCACACGTCCACGTTCATTTCTGAGCATGGTGTGGCTGGAGATATTCAGGGACAGTCCCTCCCCTGGAATGGTTTTAAAGAACACGTATGTCTCTGTAGTTGTCATAGTTTAAGTAATAGTATAAAAAACATAGAGCAGTGTAATATCACGAATGCAGACTTAGGGAAAAATGTTCTTGTCTAAATCAAAAAAGGAATGAGCACACATGAGAATGAACGCATCGATTTCTCCTGGTCCCACTGTAGGCTGTTCTGTGATGATGCAACTTGGTGATTCTTGTCTTCCTGCTACGTGAACAGACCCCCAGCTAACGTCAGAGTCTATAGGAGTGTGTATATGTGCTCTTAACAAACACTGCAGGGTTAGTCAGGCTTCAGGTTGACTCTTCGAGGGTCTCCAGGGACAGGGCCCGCAGCCGTGTGTCACTTGTCTGCCGTCTGCAGAGGGCGCCCAGGGAGGCAGCTCCCTGACAATTCAAGTCAGATTGCACTAAAATACGATATCCCCAGTCTGCTCTTTATACTGCCCAGTAAATCACACATGCACAGCAACGTTTGTCCACTGTTAAATTCCCTGTCGCACAATTCTGTTAAATTCTGAATGGCGACTCTAGCCAGAGAAGCCTAGAGCATCCTTTGGCTGACAAAGGAAAAAGGTCACCACATGCCCTTGAGAAAACACGTTCAGAGCTGTTGGCAGAGATGCTGAAAGATACACTGAAAGATGTTTACTAATCGAAAATAGTTTTGTTTTTTGGGGGGGGACTGGGCTATGCTTTAGTAGTTATCAACCTGACGAAATACTTGACGGATGGGGTTCAGTCACAAAGGCAACTGAGAGAGAAATGGAATGTTAAGGGAGTCTTGTTAGGAGCAATACATATGTAGGTGATGAAGACTGTTTCTTTTTTCAAGATGAGGTCTTGTTTCAAGTAAATAACATTTTTCAGGAAAAAAAAAGTTGATTAACAAAATAACATTCACAGGAGCACGTGCCACAAAACTCAAAATGCTGTTGCAAAAATGTTAGCTCCTAACAGGGGATTCAGTGCTGGTCTGTAATAATTACTGTATTTCCTGCACTGAGAAGGAAAGCTCTCTTCACAGGTTGAGGATTGGTGCAGAAGTGGAGATTTTGAGTATAAGAAAGAGAATTTAATTCCTGTCCCAGGGTTACACAACTGTGATGGAAGCTTTGGTTTCCCAAATGGATGACGTGGAAATTACAGTAACTATGACCAACTTCAATTTCACTAAATAGGACTTTATCTTTCTCTAAGCCAAGGTTTCTCAACAGAGGCTCCATTGATATTTGGGACCAGGTAATTTTGGGCGTGGAGATTTCCTACCCACTGTAAGGTCTTCATCAGCCTCCTTGGCCTCACCCGCCGGATGCAGACAGCATCCCTGCCCGCCAGGTGGCGCCCTCAGGCCCTGCCCCTGGCGGCGCAGCGCGCGGCCGAACATGCTGCGTTCCTCCTCTCCCATCTCACTGCGGCATGAGTTATGCCGGTTCTTCACACTAACTTCAGTAGAAACTCTGCACAGAGAACTTGCAGGTACCCAGTGAAGAACAGCTCTGCGAGGCCGGTGTTTCTGCAGGACACAAAAAACGGGCCTCGCAGCCCAGAGTGACAAGGCTCTGTTTCTGCACATGCATCTTTTAATGATGGTGAAGACTTGTCGCTGGTAATAAATAATACGCGTGCGAGGGGGAAGGGGATATGAGAGATTCTCACTGCTAGTGAGTTTGGAAAAGTAACAAAACACTTTTAGAGCAGATATGTTGAAATTAAAAAGAAGTGAAAATTTCTTTTACCTACAGACTCCGAGACTCTTGCTTGCAATTTAATTAGTAAAGAAACATTTTGATGACCAGAGATTTTCTGGGTCAAAGCCTCCCAAATTTTCGCTGTATCGGGCTCCTCGGAAGGCTTGTTGAAATATAATTGCTGGGCTCCTTGCCCAGTTTCTGCTGAGTAGGTGAGGCCTGAGAACCTGCATTTCTAACAGATTCTCAGGTGACCCAGAACCAGAGAGGCCCCTGCCCTAGAGACAGGCTCAGCTTCAGAGTCAGCTTCGTAGTCTCACTTTTTTCTTTATTGAAAATGGCCGAGGCCGTATAAATATAAAGACATATAGGAGTTGTATAAATTCGGGTTCACTCATTTGCAATAGACCAAATCCGCTTTGTTGCTGGAAAGAATGACTTATGAGACTGAATGGTCTTAATAACAGAGCCTTTGTGTCCCACTGAAAGACAGGAGGCCTTAAAAGAAAAACAAAACTGATGGATTACTCCCAACCAGGGGTTTAAGTGAGCTAAAAACTTAAAAAAGAAAATGCTTCCTACAAAGTAAAAGTTAATTTTCCTACACCAGCAAACACTTCGCTATCCGAATTCTGTTTGTATTTTCCCTTCACCATTCTTTCTCCACTTGCCAGAAAATAATTTATTACTCTCCGCTCTTGCCGGGCCCCCACAATGTGTGCGATGGCTCTTGTCCCTGTATATTGTCTGGCTTGTATCCACTGAAGGCCCTGCTAATTCAATCTTTCATTTAAACCTTGGCAAGGTCCTATTACATTTAGGACATCGTTAAGCTGCAGGCATCTAATTTATTGAATAAACAATTCAGAATTCCAAAAGGTATTTTCAGAGGTGTGCAGAGCTGTCACCTGCGGCCACAGAGGCTGCTGCATAGGAACAACTCCAGGAGGCACTGTGGATACAGATGCTGATG